AAAACGTTTATTATATGTTTTCTATGAAAATAGATGCAAAGTTATCAACCTTTCATAATTTTCATCCTAAATGCATTTTTAACAAAAGACCCCTGCAACCTTCCTCCAACTTTCCAATAACTTCTTATTTTACTTTACTAGGCTTTCAGGGCGCTTAACGAATCTCTTAATTTCTAGAATTTTTTTTTATTCCACCATCTTTATTTGTACATAAATTAGCTTAACAAAGGAATTGTATTTTTACATATATACATAATTTATTATTCAATAAAAAAAAGAGACACACAAGATAAATAGAAGCACAGAATTGTGAATTATAGAACCTTGCAACAGGACCTGCAAATCTTGGCCCAACAAAATAATCCATATTTGCAAACCAACACCATGCAAATATTCTTTAATGCGATTTATATCATTCTTAATTTAAAAATCTTAAAAAATTAAACAATCCTAAAAATTATTGCAAAAAATATGATTTTATTATCCTTTGAAAAACAATCTAAAGGTTCAACAAAATATATATATTTTAGAATATTTATACTTTTTAAACAACACTTTATAAATATATGCTCACTTTCAGTCTAACAGATGGATTAAAAACCAATTTAAACAAAAAATTGATTAAAAAAACTGATTTTTTCCCTATGTTACCCCCGGTGTACTCACAAAATGTAAGCCCATTCGGCCCAACCGTTTCGCCAGTTTTAGCTAACATATATACAAATATATATATGCGAAGAACTTTATTATATAGAAGTGATAGAAGTAAATAAAGTTCATATATTTATACTTATATTTATTCTATTTTCTTGTATATAATGGTAAAAACTAACTTAATGAAATATGATAAATGCGTTGTCTCAATTACTTAGATAATCTGAGGATTTATCATTATAAAATATTTACAAATAATTCCACCTTAGATCTTTTCTTTTTGGTTTACTAAACACACTGTAAACACCCCCAATGCAAACACACTTTAAACACACTGTAACTTAACAACTTTGTAAACACGCTGTAAACACCCTGTAAACACGCTGTAAACACCCTGTAAACATACTGTAAACACCCTGTAAATATGCTGTAAACACACTGTATTTACAAACCGTAAACAAACCGTAAAAGCACCGTAAACACATAAACACACTGTAAACACACTGTAAACACACTGTAAACATACTGTAAACACACTGTAAACATACTGTAAACACACTGTAAACATATTGTAAACAAACTGTAAACACACTGTAAACATACTGTAAACATACTGTAAACACACTGTAAACACACTGTAAACACACTGTAAACATACTGTAAACACACTGTAAACATACTGTAAACATACTGTAAACACAATTTAAACTAAAAATATTTTGAACAAATTGTGAAAGGAAATGATTTTCTGAACAAAATCAAATTCTGCTAAAAAAGAATTGTACTTTAAGACAAATCGAGTGTTCTTTTTCCATCAATCCCCTGTAAAAGCTATCGCTATAAAACTTGTTGTAAAAGACTTTTAGTTTCATTTCATAGAAAACATTTTTATATTTTTATATTTCCTTCTCCTCAGAACTTTATATATCTGCAAAATATGTGTATAATGGGCGGCCCTTCAGTTTATAACGTGCAAACATGGTATCCCTTTCACAACTCTCAACTCAGGTTCAAGAAAATAAATAATTTACAATTCCCTTATGTATAGTAATCCATCACAATTTACTTTTACAATGTATATTTATTCATATAATGTTTTATAGAAAAGTAGTCAAGACTCATAAAACAAAGCTAGAAACATGTAATAAAAACCGAGAAACGTAAAGAAACAATTAAACGTTCTACATTGTAAAAAAACCTATAATTTGCACAAACTCTGTTTTCAAATCCCTATATTTTTGTAACCCATTGTCGTGAAGCTTAGATATAAAAGTACGAATTATGTTAGATTAAATAGCAATGGTTTAAATCAACTACACCAAATTCCAAAATTTAGGACTTAAAAAAAAATGTCAACATTTTTTAACAGCTTTCACACTGATTTTGTTGATTTCATTTCAGTCTGTTGACAAACAGGGTTATTCACAAAGAATGATGTTTAAAGAAGTCTTTAAAAATAAATAAATAAAGATTTAATTTGTACTGTTGTCAATAATAAAGTTGATATATGGTAAAAGATTTAAATGTTCTCATAAAGTATTCATCTACAGGGTACATGAAATTTTACAAGAAAAAAAATTCTTAACAATTTTCTCTGGAGTCTCATCCTTTATGGGTAGCATTGTATTATTGGATATTCCCTGATATGAATGCCGTGTGCATATACACAAAAAATGTTGTGTATAGACTAAGATACAAAATAACTCGAATTCCATGTATATAAAATAATTTTCTTTTCAGATTTAAAAAAATGTCAGCAGTGTAACGGAGCAGTCAGGAATAGTTTAATGTTGAAAATATATTAGTTCGCAATAAAATAAATTAGAAAAGATTTAAATAAAAACTTACAAAAACCATAATTTCCTAAGCTCTATATTTTTGCAACCTAATTGTGTAGACCTTTGATATTCTACGAGATTCAAGGTACTTTTGGCGTTTATTCAAGGGACTTTAAATAGTAAAATTTTTGAAATATCTAAGATTTCTATAATTAGGGTTCAAAGATATAAAATAAAGACATAATTTCTTTGTTGAATGTTTAAAACATTAAGTCACATTTTCTTTTACACTTTAGATTTTAACTTTGTTTTTTGTTAATTGTTCCTACAAATAACATCAGCTAAACCAGACGAAACCCAGTTCAAGGCAGAGGAAGTAGATTAAAAGTTTCACCATAGATCTACAATCTCAAAATGTAAGATATTCTGAAAATGCAGGGATAGAAAATGTAAAATTATTCTTAGGAAGAAAATGGGAAATACATTACAAATTAAAAAAATAATAATGCTTTACAAAGAAATTTAAGATATGATTTTGAAGAAAAAAATTAAGATTCACTTTAACAGTATAATATAAGAAACGCTCAAGAAAAAGAAAAAGTACACTAAACATTAAAAAGAAATCGTAAGGTATAATTTTAAATAGTAATGTAAAGGAACCAAAGTTAAAAGAAAATGTAAGATAAAAAATATAAGTAAAACATAGTAACACAGTAAACCGAAAGAAAAAACAAGTTTAAGATACACATTAAAAAGGGAATGAAAGATTGCATTGTAAAAGAAAACGTTAGATTGCATTGTATAAGAAATTGTAAGATTGCACTTTAAAAGAAAATGTAATATTGCATTGTAAAAGAAATTGTGAGATTGCATTGTAAAAGAAATGTAATATTGCATTGTAAAAGAAATGTGAGATTGCATCATAAAAGAAAATGTAAGATTGCATTGTAAAAGAAATGTGAAATTGCATTGTAAAAGAAAATGTAAGATTGCATTGTAAAAGAAAATGTACGATTGCACTGTAAGAGAAAATGTAAGATTGCACTGTAAAAGAAAATGTAAGATTGCACTGTAAAAGAAAATGTAAGATTGCATTGTAAAAGAAAATGTACGATTGTACTGTAAAAGAAAATGTTAGATTTCACTGTAAGAGAAAATGTAAGATGGCATTGTAAAAGAAAATGTAAGACCGCATTGTAAAAGAAAATGTGAGATTGCATTGTAAAAGAAAATGTAAGATTGCATTGTAAAAGAAAATGCACGATTGCACTGCAAAAGAAATTGTAAGATTGCAATGTAAAAGAAAATGTACTATTGTACTGTAAAAGAAAATGTAAGATTGCACTGCTAGAGCAAATTTAAGATTGCAATGTAAAAGAAAAAGTAAGATTGCATTGTAAAAGAAAATGTGAGATTGCGTTGTAAAAGAAAATGTAAGATTGCATTGTAAAAGAAAATGTGAGCTTGCATTGTAAAAGAAATGTGAGATTGCATTGTAAAAGAAAATGTACGATTGCACTGTAAGAGAAAATGTAAGATTGCACTGTAAAAGAAAATATAAGATTGCAATGTAAAAGAAAATGTAAAATTGCACTGTAAAAGAAAATGTAAGATTGCATTGTAGTAGGAAATGTAAGATTGAATTGTAAAAGAAAATGTAAGATTGAACCGTAAAAGAAAATGTAAGATTGCACTGTAAAAGAAAATGTACGATTGTACTGTAAAAGAAAACGTAAGATTGCATTGTAAAAGAAAATGTAAGTTTGCACTGTAAAATGTACGATTGTACTGTAAAAAAAAATGTAAGATTGCACAGAAAAAGAGAGAGAAAGTTTGCACTATAAAAGAAAATGTAAGATTGCACTGTAAAAGAAAATAAAAGATTGCACTGTAAACATATGTAAGATTGCATTGTAAAAGAAAATGTTTTCAGAGTTGTTGGATAAGATTAAAATGGAAACAGATAAAATTTTAAAGAACATGTTTAACAAAAGCCAAGTTAAAAAATATTTAAAGTCAAATAAATGAAAAAATAATATAAAATTTTAGACAGCAATCAAGAATAATCTAAAGATTAAAATAAAATTGATTTAACAGTTAACAATGTTTCCAAGTTGGGATTTTCTTCAGCAAAACATTAAAAGCAAATAAACTTGAGGTTGGTTTTAATGAATGTTAAGTTGAAAGTTAAAAAATATTCCAACGACTTCCTGATTTATTCACTAAATTCCACCTCCGGTATAAAGTTATTATAATGAATAGACTAAAGTTTTAGATACCGAAATGGGGGAGGGGGTTAACAAGTACAGCTGTAAAGGAGGTAGGGGGGTTAAATTTATCTGATCACAATTGAAAATACTAATTTTACAAAATTATTAACATCGAAATATTATTCTTTAGATTTTCAGAGTAATGTTGTAAATCTTAACTTTAAGGGTTATTTAAAATTACACTTAACTTCAGTCCCCTTTTCAAATCAAGCATTTATTTTTTTAAATGAATTCAACAATTAATACAAATTATTTTAAAATAATTAAATAATGTTTTTAACCTTTTTTTGTTAGTTGAAAAATGAGACATTTGTTGTTGAATTTTGCAACTACACTTTCTTTTCCATGGAGATAGTAACAGCGACCAGCATTTGTCAGGTTAATATTTTTTTATTTTGCTTAAAACAAAATTTGAAAAAATTCATAAAAAATTCTTCGTCTCATAGAAAGCTCTGTCTGTATCAAGCTGAATATTATGTTTGAAATTTGAATTAATACAGTATTTGCTGTTGTTAAGCCAAAATCTATGCAAGCACTTTTAATCGGTGCACAATTTTTCTGTTATTACTCAAATTGACATTCTTTGCAAANTTTTTCTCCGGCCACAGTTGTCTTTGAAAAGTAAGACTATTACCAATCAACAACGAATAGGCTGTTTAGTTTACCCTAAAATTACCCAAATAAGCGAACGGTCCCTTTAAGGTTGTTTTTAAAGTGCAATTTTTTCTTCGTAATTATAAAATTCAAAACTTCCAAATTTGTCTGTAAACATCATGATAGATTTAGAAAAGTCGACTTTTTTTCAGGCTAAATATTTCACGTTTAAGTTCTAAACTTATAGATAGGTAACTGGTATACTGATCCTCATTGTCATCATTATGCATTTCTTCTTAAAAATATATTCCGTATCCCTGTTTTACAAATATATCCACACCAACTTCGGCAGTTTCCCCCACTAATGTAAATCTTAATTCATTTTAATTTAAATTCATGTAAATTTTCATGTAAACCTTGCATTTTAATCTATTAAGAGGAGATACAACTTTTATTACATGTCACAAAATGCCATGTCCTTCTGAATCAAACTTAATTACAGAATTGTATTTTTGTCTTCTCTACCTAGGGTTTAAGTCTGGTCTATTCAACACTATAAGGATACAGGTCAAATAGGGTGACCGGCGTAGCGGGCACCCTACTAGTACATATGTATATTTACATGGTTCATGAACGATAATGTTAATCTTTTATTTGGTTACGAAATATGCATAAAATGATAATAATAGTAATTAGAGAGAATATAGATAAGATATCAGGTTTCCCTGATATAGTACTCGGGGATATTTATTACAAACCTAATGAGATAAGAGAATATTTTCGCAATTCAAAGAAAACTAATTTACAAACCCTAACCAAGCCAAACTAACTTCAAACCGATCTAATTGTGTATTTTTTTAAATTGCACCGATCCAACTGTAGAATAGATTTACGAAATGTCCAAAAAGTGTTCAGCACGCCTAACTAAAGTAAATATCATGTTATATTAAAATCTTAAATGTTTTCGTTCATAACTCATCTAACCGAGAAAAAACAAAAATACTTTTTTCATACTTCAAAGCTGGAGGAGCTACGAGATCATAAAGTCGTACTTGTAATGTTTTCTCAAAGGAATTGAGTCTTTGCCACAATTCTTATCTCTATATCCTAGCAACCTGATGGTATAAACCTGTGATAAATTAAACATTGTGATGCAAAGATATGAGGGATTACAAAATTATAGTTTGTGGCAGACTTAAATGTTTTTTTTTCTAAGATGCAGCCTTCATCATTAATTTTAAATATCCAATTTCGTTATTTGAATTCATATTTTAGATGTTAAATACAAACTCACTTTTCTTCATCTTCCACAATAATTAAATAAATCTCTTTTCTAACCATAAATTATATAATTGCAAAGTTGTGATGTATTTTAATAAAATTAATTTCAAGAAACTCCAATTAATTTTCAAATTAAACTTCCATTAAGGTTTTTCGAAAAGTCTATTCTTCATATCGTCTGGAAAAAACAAAATAAATATCATAACATGGTTAAATTAATTAACCCTTCATTGAAAGAGCTATAAATAACTCTATTCACAATTGTACAGTTTAAACATTTGCCTTATCAAGTTGATGGAGTTATTCCTATTTTACTTCATGAAATATTGTTTTTCTATTGTGGTTCCTTTTGCAAATGGAAATATGAAGGAGCAGGTAGAAAAACGACAATATCTTCATCCCTTTCAGTCAAACATGGTTTAAAGGTTACTGTGTTAATCAGACTTGACAGTTGACAATCTTTAAATGGAGGGTCACTTGAAATTAGGTTTTCAGTACCTTTTCAAACTGTGAATAATCTCTTTGGATTTTTAGAATTGTCTTGTAAACTGTCCGCTGTGCAGCAAAGTTTTCCTACACCTCAATTCTATTGTTGTTTTTCTAGAGTTACCAGCTATACAAGCTCAACACGAAACAGTTCTGGAAAACAAACTGATAATAAAGTTTAAACGTCACAAGGAAACTGAACTAGGAAAATGAAAAAGTTATTTATAAATTCAAGATTGCATCAAAATGAAACAAGATGGTTTAAAGAACTTCAGAAGTAACTTTGTGTGACTCTATTTCTAGAATACAAAGTGTATTATGAAGAAAACGTGAGACATCCATATTTTCTCTTGATAAATTAAATGGTTTTTGGATTTCTTCTTCAGAAACAAAAGAGGAAATTGTTAGAAAAAATCACTTTTTCAAAAAGAAACACAAAGATATTCTTGACATGTTTGACAAGATAAAGTTTTGAAATGGTACCATTGTAAATCGGAAGTGCCCCATTCTTTACAACGATAGTCTTTTTAAGAAAACAGAAATGGAATGTTAGAATCCATCTTTTATGTATATTTCAAAAACATACAATCCAAAATATTATAAAACCATTTTTATGAAATTCTAAATTCTTTCCAATTCCATTTCACGTGATTTGACCAAGGAAGACACAGCATGAAACCCGATAATTTTGTTTACACAGAAAATGGGGAGGAATGCAAATAAACTGAGTGCTACTTTATGGTCCTTCCAGAAACTGCAGTACACATTGTTTGTTAACAAAGACAAGGGAGTTTTCCTGGTTCATCTTTCTTAATGGAAATGAGTTTTTGCCACAAACTCAAACTCTATAATCCCTAAATCTTTTTAACCTTTTATATTTCAAATTTGGATCTAAATGAATTCATAATTTAAAATATCAGAGTTTTTTGACATCTTGTTGCAAAGGTATAGGGATTACAAAATTTGAGTTTTTGGCAAAAACTCAATTCCTTTGAAATTCTTTTTGAACCTGTTTACTGTTAGATATCATGACTTACCTAAACTTGACATTTTCCAATAATTTTATCGCAATCAAAATATTGGATATTTAAATTGACATGTTTAGCCGTCCAATTAGAAATCTGTGAAAAAGCTGGCCCAAGATTAAATGAAGAACGTCTAAATCGTATCTTAAAAATATTTTTAAATCAACTTATCATATTTATTTTGAACACAAATAGTCACCTTCTCCCCGGCTATACATAGATTTAGTCCCGGCCAGCCTTTATAGGGTTAAAGTTGGTAAAAATGAACAAATTCTTTTGGGGTTATTAGAAGATGTCAGTTCCTTACTTCCGTCTCGAACATTTCACACATTTTTAAAATATTTTCACAATTTAAAAATAATCACAAACTTGTTTAATTTACAACTTTTTGTTTGTTCAACAATGACTTTTTAAATAAGATTAAGAACTCTTTATTTTTTTCAATATTCAAGAAATATTTTTTTCATTAAAATTAGATTCTGTAATTTTATATTTTCAGAAATTTAAATTTTCAGCATCTAATTTCGTCAATTTTTCATATTTCTTGTATTCTAGTCCTTTCGCAAATAAATAGTTTCAGATGTTGTCCATATATTTTTCCAATATAGAGTTTCAGAGATATTGCCCATATATATTTTCCAATATAGAGTTTCAGATATGGTCCATATATTCTTCAATCTATAGTTTCAGATATTGCCCATATATATTTTCCAATATAGAGTTTCAGTTATTGTCCATATATATTTTCCAATATAGAGTTTCAGATATTGTCCATACATATTCTCCAATATAGAGTTTCAGATATTGTCCATATATATTCTCCAAAATATAGTTTCAGATCTTGTCCATATATAGGATGAAGTAAATGCCGTACTCTTAAAAGTTTGTCTCATAAACTGTATTAGTCCAGGTTTAACCAGTCCACGATCCAATTCTAACAGGACACAATTCACACGGCTACAATCCCGGGAACTATCAATGCAACAACCTGAGCGCCATAATGGTGTCAATACGGACACTAGCAATTAATTGATCAAACAGGACACAATCCACACAGCTAAAATCCCATGACTGGACTGACCACAAGCTGGGCACAATTGTGTTAGCTATCGGTGTTAATACAGAAACTAGCAATCAATTGATCAATGACTCAAACAGGACACAATCCAAATGGCTAAAATCCCGTGACTTATCAAGGCCACAACCTGGGCACGATCTCATTAGCTATCAGTGTCAATATCAATGCCACAACCTGAGTGCCATCATGGTGTCAATACGGACACTAGCAATCAATTGATCAATGTCTCAAACAGTACACAATCCACACAGCTAAACTCCATGACTTATCAACGCCACAAGCTGGGACGATCTCGTTAGCTATCGATGTTAATACAGAAACTAGCAATCAATTGATCAATGTCTCAAATAGGACGTGATCCACACGGCTACAATCCTGTTTTTTTTTATCAACGCCACAACCTGGGCGCGATCTCTTTAGCTGTCAGTATCAATTCGGACACTATGGCAATCAAATAGATCAATACCATTACTCAAGGTATAATCTCAATTTGTATGTTTCAATGAAACCCAAATTACTGTAATCAAAGTAGAGTTCTGGTTGTAACTGATTTAAATTTAAGGTTCCCATGATCAAGGCTATCATGTTACGTAGTACAGCACATTTGAAATAGGCGGATTTAGATATGTGTGTATTTATAGGATTAGCGAGGATAGATATAACATAATAAAGCTATCCCCACACATTTTTATAAGTTAAAAGTACGTATTACAAGGGTTTAAGCTAATCATGCCACGTATTCATTTTAAACGCAGTTCAAATGAATAATGTTTTATTTTACGGAGAAGTTTACAAACATATTTATTAGATAATTAATAATGTACAAAGGAATTGAGTCTTTCCCACAAACTCTGAATTTTTAATCCCTATATCTTCAGAACCCAATGTCGTAGACCTTAGATATTTCAAAATATGAATTGTGTTAGTTCAATTGATTTAAGTTTGAAATATAAAAGGTTTACACCATTAGGTTGGCAAGATATAAGCATTAGAAAATTTGAGTTTGTGACAAAAACTCAATTCCTTTACAGAATATTGTATTATACAATACTTATTACAAATGGATATTTATTACAGGAAGATATCTTCTATTTTAACTTTTAATTGTTGCTCACCTTTCAGCATTTTCTCTTCGATGAAACAATAAAAAAAATTTGGGGGATTAACATTTTTGTTCGTGGATTTTGAAAAATTTCCAAAAAGTAAAATTTAAGACAATTTTTTGTAATTCTGAAAATACATAAGCATTTCCTGGGGTCATGTGAACAAAAAATTTGGGCCCGGTCAGTTCAGCCGTTTTAACGTTTGTAGGTTACAAAGAAACAGACAGATAAGCCAAGTATAAATATAAAGGAAGAAGATTTCAGGGATCATTTCTTTGAAATCTTACACATTTGTAATCTTGGCATATCTTATTGAAGAGCTATATTGAGAAGAACAAAAATAATTTGAATTTTTACCATGGCAACCAAATAGATATACTTGAGCGCATACTTCAAACTAGATTAGGGTTACGAGATTACAAAGTCGTACAAATAATGTCGCATTAATTTGATCTCTCCTTTCTGTCAAGTTGAGAGTGATCTGTTCACACAGCTTCTGCGTACATTCCTGATTACTCTTAACCTTACTTTTTCAATTTCAAAGTAAATTGCATAGATTTTGAGCAAAAAACAGTGTTTTGTCGACTAGATATCTTTATGTGAATTTGCACTCAAATATTCTTAAATTTTAAATTTTCTTTATATTGCAATGATTCTAAAAAGAATTTGTCAAGTTAAAGAGCTATTCATGATGACTCATGAAACATATGATTATGCTTTTGTACAAAACTGAAAACGAGGATAATAATAATAATAATAATAATAATGATAATAATGATAAAAATAATATTAATATTTATAATAATCATATTATTAATAATAGTTTTAATAATAATGATAATAATAACAATAAGGATAAGAAAAATAATTATAATAATGATAAAAATTATGATAGTAACAACAAGAATGTCAATTTAGGGTATACTTTTTGGTGTTATAATACTGCTGGCCTTTCTTGGCAATCTCCTCGTTATAGTCAGTGTTCTCAGGTAAATCCAAGCAAGATAAATATACTAGGAATCCAATTTATTAAAATATATGCTAAATATGAGGGGGGAACTCTAGTATTGTGGATATTGAGATCAATGCTTGATCTCCTCCTTTTATTAATATCAAGATCAATTCAATCTTTAGTTTGTATTCTGAAAAGTGTATAAAATTCAACCAATAGAGTGACGTCTGCAAAATCCCGAACAACTAATCAGAAGACGGGAAATTTTAAATTTTACGCGCCATTTAAGGAGAGAACTCTCAATGGTCGGAATCAGATAGGGATATCCAAAAAGAGAGAAACAGAGCGGATTAAGCAGAAAATTAAAAGTGTTAATCTGCAGATTAATTTATAATCTTTATTTGATATCCCGTGAAGTGTCAATCATATATCCTGAGAACAGCCAATCAGAAGCGAGGGAATTCAGCTTAAAACCAATAAGAGAACAAAGAAATTGCGGATATTAGAAATTGTGAGATCAATCAGATTCTGCGTAAAATTCACAAGTGCCCACAGTGGGTATCGACATCAAGCAATCGGGAAAGATTCCCAGCTTTGTACTTTCTAGGAGAAAGAGGCTATGAGCATGATGTTAACGTAAATTATAATCTGAAAAAATGATTTTTAAAATTATAATTTGTGTGTACTTTCCTTTATGTAACATCTTAAAAATTATAATTGAATATGTGTGTACTTTCATGACCCCGACCCTTACATACAATGATAAAAGCAGTTTTCCTGCTAGAAATTAAAGTAGTAGATTCTGAGGTTCATCTTGTAGTTTTTTTGTTGAATTCTTCTTTAAGATTTTGATTCCTGATATAGTTTCTATATGTATTTTATATTAAAATAAGAAAAAGCTATTTTTTTAGGTTGAAAAGTGTTTAATTATAAGGCCCAAATGCGCACAGCGCAAGTCATTTTTGCAGAGAAATCACAAATAGTATATAAAACTATAATGAAAACATACGTTGTGAATTTGACACACCATCTAATGGAGGTTTCCTTAATTCAAACTATATCCTGTTTAGGACCAAAACACTGCGAAGAAAGTATGCCTACTATTTTGTGGTCAGTCTTGCTCTTGCAGGTAGGCATTCAAGTTTTCTTTGTTTGGTAGAAATTATATTTTAACATTCACTAAACTTTTTTTTGGATGGAAGAAAATTTTGAAATTTTGATCATCCATACATCTTCCCTGGGGTCATGTGACTATGAGGCCCACAAAAAATTAGGGCCAAATCGATTCAACCCTTTTGACGTTTATTAGATAAACACAAACAAACGAACACCCACCCAACCAAGCAAACTATATATAGATTCATATTGATTTTGGGAATGAGTTAAAACTAGTTTAACCAATCATCTTACATTGATTTCAATAATTAAGTTCAATCAATTTAAATTAATTTTATCACTGTGTATAAATTTGATTTAAATTATGTGAGTTGGAATTGAAAGTTTTCATCAAATGTATTTTAATCCGTTGCACTTATAAGCTTATTAAGTTTAACCAACTAAAACTGATGCTTTTTCAATTTCAAGGTTTACTTTGACAAAACATAATTTTATATTTTTACCGTTTATATTCGTCATAGTGATAAAGATAGATATGTCGTAAATATGGATTACAACGAATTGGCAAAAATCGAAATTCGCAATTAGTATCAAAACTTTTTGCTAAATTTGAAATATTTTTTCAAGCATATTGTCTTGATCGTTACTTCTTTCAGTTTGATTATTTATGGATTTGCCCTGTATTTGTTTATTTGTGGATTTGCTCTTTATTTGAATATTTGTAGATTTGCTCTATATTCGAATGTTTTTAATTTGCTCTGTATCCGATATATTTAGATTTGTCAAGTTTTCGATTATTTGTGGACGGGTTTCGTATTCGAATATTGTTTTTGAATATTTTTGGATTTGGCCTTTATTTGATGTTTTAAGATTTGCCCTTTAATCAATTATTTTATAATTTACCCTGAAATCAATTATTTGTGGATTTGCCCTTAAATCGAATATTTGCAAATTTGCCATGTATTCGATGTTTATGGATTTGCCCTGAAATAAAATATTTGTGGATTTGCCCTAAAATCAAATATTTGCGGATTTGCCCTGAATTCGATGTTTATATATTTGTCCTAAAATAAGATATTTGTGGTATGCCCTGAAACCGAATATTTCCGGATTTGCCCTTTTTCGATGTTTATGAATTTGCCCTGAAATCGAAAATTTGCGGATTTGCCCTGCGTTCGATATTTGTTGATTTGCTCTGAAATCGAATATTTATGGATTTACCCTGAAATAGAATATTTGCGGATTTGCCCTGTAATCGATATTTGTGGATTTGCCCTGAAATGGAATATTTGCGGATATGCCCTGAAATCGAATATTTGCGGATTTGCCCTGTAATCGATATTTGTGGTTATGCCCTGTAATCGATATTTCCGGATTTGCCCTTTTTCGATGTTTATGGATTTGCCCTGAAATCGAAAATTTGCGGATTTGCCCTGCGTTCGATATTTGCTGATTTGCCCTGTAATCGATATTTTTGGATTTGCCCTGAAATCGAATATTTGCGGATATGCCCTGAAATCGAATGTTTGCGGATATGCCCTGTAATCGATATTTGTGGATATGCCCTGAAATCGAATATTTGCGGATATGCCCTGAAATCGAATGTTTGCAGATTTGCCCTGAAATAAAATATTTGCAGATTTGCCCTGAAATGCAACATGTATGTTAATATGAATCCCAGCATCCCAAGTTTACGACCAGTTTCTGCCTAGCTCCTCAATTTTGCAGATTGCACACAAAATCTGCATTAAATAAATTCAAATTTTAATCAATCTGTAGTTGCATAACATTCCCCCCACATGCTTCATTTCATCAAATTATTAATTTAGTCTTCTTCTGACATATTTTTCAACATTTCTCCTTTCATCTAATCCCTCCCCCGTCTCTTGTAGATTAACGCTATATGGTATCAAAACTAGAATTTCGGGGGACTTTGACAGAATTTAATATATTTGACATTTAAGAAATTAGAGAATTTTGATGACCGTGCAGCATTCTATTTATCAGAAGCGGAAACCAAATAAACGAAAATGTCATTCAATCTTTTTAATCTGTTGATATATCGGGAAATAAAATCATTTAAAAATTGGAAACTTTTAACCCTATTCCTGCTTGGGAGGGGGTCAATTTGACCCCTCTGACCCCCAGCATATCCTGGTTTTCAAGTACCCCAGCAGAGATAAGGTTAAACAGGTTTTCATTTTTCCATCAAAAATTAAGAAAACAACTTTGGAACGTTGGAACTCTTTTAGTATTTTTTTATATAAAACCTTAATTACGTAAAATTTCTTAAGCCCTGCGATAAAAATTCTTATCTTGTTTATCTTATTCATATAAAGTAAAATGTCTGAATTGTATATGTATGGATGGCCAAACCATGATTTAACAAAAAGAAAACAACGCCCGCGCTTTTGCACTATTTGCTTATCTATATAATCTATATAATCTTCTCATATATATCTACATGTATATGTATCTATATTTGTATATATGTTAGCTTTAGCTTTTCTCTACCAAAATGGCTGACATTTTTTGAGGAACCCTTGGGAAAAATTCTATTTTTTATGATCAAATTTTTTACATGGAATTTTTTTCTTCTAAATTCGAATTTTTTTTTCGCTAAAATTTCACGGGCAAACGCAATGTCAAAATGTCAAAAGTATAAGTATGTCATTGCAAAGAAAAACAAAATTGTATAAGATTATAATAACCTTTGAAGGTGCTGACTTAAGAATCTTTTATCACAATTGTTACGCAACTGCCTAGTTGCCCTAAAGATAAATATGCTAATACTGGGTGGTGTTCCTACGGTTTTGACCGGAAGCTGCTCTGCCCTTAGTCTGTCCATAATAAAACCAGGATAAGTCTTCAAGCTTTATTGCACAGTACAAAAATCAACGATATAGACTGAATAAAATGATTATATAAGAATAGAATAGACAATTCACAAGCTACAGAAAAAAGCATGAAATACTATATAAACAAACTTTTATTCACTCAGGCTTTAAAAAAAAACTGCAGCAAAGATAAATAAAACATAGAATAAATATCAGGATCACGTAATAATAAATATAAGATTTTACCACAGTGATCCTCGTAACACGTTCCGTAAATAGCTAAGATAGCAATTAATATATAGCTTTGCACACTTAAACGATTCCAACAATACTAAAACATGTTTCGGGCCGGTAAACTACAGCATAAAAACCGGTTACATATACAATACTAGAAAATACGAGAATTCTGGAAAGTTCCATTTTTGAAGTACACTTCGCATTCAGGGGTGAATACAACCCATACAGGGATGAGGTACATGAGGTAAATGAGAGTACAGATAACTCAAAATCCGGTTTTCCAAATTTAGATAGTCGTACTGTCTCTGTATATTAATCTTAATTTCAAAGGAATTGATCCTTTGCCACAAACCCAAATTTCTAATCCCTATATCTTTGTAACCTAAGGGTTTAAACATTTTATATTTCAAACTTAGATTATTTAATCTAAAGAAATTCATAAAAATATCAAAGGTCTACAAAATTAAGTTAAAAAATTACAGAGATTAGAAAATCAGAGTTTGTGCATGGCAAAGACTCAATTCCTTTCCTGGCTTCTGTTACGCCACTCTCAGGATAAAAACACAAGATTAGGTTAGTCTCGAGATTAAAAATAAGAAAGGATTAAGCATATCCACAATTCGTAAGTTTTCAGCTCAGGTCGGGCACAACAAAAATGTCTTCTTCTTACAACGTGTCCGGCCATTTCTACAAACAATTATATATTTATTATTTAGATCTGTTGGTATCTGTGGGAGCAATGGTCTTTAATGCAATCAAAGTTATTCACAACGGACACTGGTTCTTTGGGTAAGAACTACAGTGGAACTTATAAAAACGGTGGAATAGGAAGACGACATTTAAGCAATCTTATCTGTACTTAAATGTTACATTAAAGCGGCGTATAATTGCATGCTGTGTTTTTCTATCATTGTACTATTCAAAATCATAACTGGAGTCTATACCAATTGTCTTCCGATTTCGCAACTTTCTATGTCCCACTTCTTAAAGTTATAGTTGTAAGATAACGCTGCAGATAATCTGTTAATAATTAAGAATTAGATAATAGCGTATGAAATAATATAATAGGATTTTTTAATATAACAAGTTTTATTTTTCAATCGTTGAAATAAGGAATATTTATAGTTTGCAGAAAAACTACCTTTCAAAACAACCTTAATACACACATTTTTCTCTAACAGTTTATTATTAACTCTCTTGGAAAACCAGCTTTATCTTAAAACTAAAAGGCAATCTACTCAACGTACAATTTTTAGAGCAAGCTATAAAAAAATCAAAATATTAGTCAAATCTGTCATTGGTTTTTTAAGTTGTGATTATAAAAAAGAGATCTTATATATATATATTACAGATCNAAAGAAAGATAATGCAATGGATGTTGTGTTTAGTACTGCCAGTATACTTAATCTTTTCTGTATATCACTGTACAGGTAAAATAGACTAAAAGGGACTGTACACTTAATCCCCCCTCCCAATCCAGGATTGAAAGGGGGGTTGTTCCCCCCCCCCCCGTGAGTTTTATTATCTAAATAACTTAAAAACGGCAGAAAATAGAACATTAAAACTTTAACATTTTATCAAAATCATATGGGGGGGATGGAACTCCCCCCCACCATATATATTAGACAAAAATAGCACAATCGGGATAGGGTTGATTTCAAGTGAACCTTCATTAAACAAATGCTAGTCTGTTACCACGTTAACCTTGAAAGCTTGGTCGGATCAAATATGAATGATATGTTCAAGATTTTTCTTTGAAAATTGGTAATATTTAAATAAATGGCCACTTGGAATTAAAAGGACAATCCCTTTCAAAGAATGATCGTTAAAAATTGAAAAATGTAAAATTAGAATCAGCATTAGTTCTTGTAATATCGAATTTAAACTGAACTTTAAAGAAGAAACAATTAAAATACTTATGCTCGATAGTTTACTATTAGTTTTAAAGTCATGATCAGAATAAAATAGAATGTAAAACGTCTTTATTATATTTTTATTCAGAAATGTCGCTGATAATTGCATTGTTTGTAATTCAAGATTTAAATTTACTGTTTTTAAATTAAAACGAGTTGATGACACTTTATATTCTTTACAAGGGTAAAGTAATTGAGTCAAACTCAAATTTTCTATTCTTTATATCTTTGCAACCTGATGATTTATACCTTTGATACGCCAAACTTAGGTTATTTAATTTAACAGAATTTATAGTTTAAATTTCATTTGCATTTAAATTAAAGACGAATTATTCCAGAAAAATAATCATTAACATAATAACTTTTCTCTCTTTTTCTGTCAGTTTATAAACCAGCAATGTAACAAAGTTTTTAGATTTTGTGTTTTAGTTTTCATGGAAAATTTGAAATTTAATTTGCGCCAAAAATGTACAATAAGACTCTGAAAATATTTGAACAGTATCCATCCAGAAAGTAAAATGCTGAAAGGTTGAAAACTGAAGAGTTATTAAATTTTGCCGGATTTAAAATCAAAGTTAATCTATTTCATTCTTTTCCCCGAGCGGTTTCCCCTCGGTCCTATTTCACGCAAAACTAACTTGATCTAAGTATGTCCTTTATCTAAATGAGCTCTGTTTCATTATCATAGATAAGTTCGATGCACTTCATTTCCTTCTAACTCATCTGAAAGGAATAAAAAACATATATTTTCAATTATCGGGAAAACAACAAGTTCGATAGCTAACAAGCTATTGAATTTCAGGATACCTGAATCACCGTTATTTTCACTTTTCTACAACCACCAGACCCACCCCATCTAAAAAAAGAAAGAAAAAAAGAAAGAAAGAAAGAAAAAAAGAAAGAAAGAAAGAAAAAAAGAAAGAAAGATTAAAAGAAAGAATGAAAAAAAGAAAAAAAGAAAAACAGAAAGAAAGAACGAAAAAAAGAAAGAAAGAAAAAAGAAAGAAACATTGAAAGAAAGCATAAAAAAAAAGAAAGAAAGATTGAAAGAAAGAAAGAAAGAAAGAAAGAAAGAAAGAAAGAAAGAAAGAAAGAAAGAAAGAAAGAAAGAAAGAAAGAAAGAAAGAAAGAAAGAAAGAAAATAAGAAAGAAAGAAAGAAAGAGAGATAGAGAGAAAAAAAAAGAAATAAGAAGAACAAAGTAAAAAAATAAAGAAATAAAGAAAAAGAAGAAGAAAAAAGTAAAAAACAAGAAAAAAAGTAAAAAAGGAAGAAAGATTGTTTCTTTATAATATTTGGAAAGATAATAATTATTTTTTACTTGAATTCAAAGCATTCAAATTGTTATCTAGGGTGGTGGGTCCTATTGATGTCTTTATACAAATATCAGATGCAATTCTTTTGCGACCAGATAACGAGGTTATAGTATATAGCTTGATGATGTACGCCAAGGAGAATTGAATAGAAGGAAGGGGCGATAGGTTTTCCGTACACTTTGCTGTGAAGTTTTTGGACGGCTGAAGAACTAGTTTTTGCGTAACAACAACAATGATAAAGATTGTAAACAATAACACAAATGATAAACAGACATCTGGCGCATCTCTGGCGTTAGATGAAGATTCACCGTATACTAACTCATGTTTGTTACATCCCAACGAATGATTTGACAGGTTCTTTCTTTTGTGAAATATGTTCCTAGCCATCTAATTTGATTACTGTTTAATTTTTACTTTATTTTTCGTTGTCGTTATTTAATAATTTAAAAAAACTAATTCTGAAAGCGTATCCACCCCCAAATCAGGAGTTTTGAACGTCGAATTTGCGCTCAAACTCAGGATTTACAGGATTTACAAAAGTTAAATATGTCTCAAATGAATCCTAAAGAAGTTTTCGACAACACTGCATACTCAGTTCAATTACCTTACATAGCCGGTCACTCCCTTTAAGGGATTCAGCTTCCTAACCTACAAACATAATACATCGTCTAACATTGGACAACATATATTGGAAAACATTATATCCCAACCCGTTCAAGAGATTGCTCTCGAAATTCAAGGAGAATCGTTAAGCTAAAAAAAAGATCATATCAAACAAGCTTGATATTGGTTAAATATAAAGATTCCAGAAAATAGATAAAAAGTTTTGCATTTTCAGATGGTTAATTCCAGATAATTGAAAAGTATTTATAATATGAGATGGTTCCAAGGAATAAGTAAACAGTTTTGATATATTTAGATGGTTCCGGAGAATTGATAAAAATTATTCATATTTTCAGATTGTTCGAGAGAATTGATAAAGAAGTATTCATATTTTCAGATGGTTCCAGAGAATTGATAAAGAAGTATTCATATTTTCAGATGGTTTCAGAGAATTGATAAAAAGTCTTAATATTTTCAGATGGTTTCGGAGAATTGATAAAAAGTATTCATATTTTCAGATGGTTCGAGAGAATTGATAAAAAGTATTCATATTTCAGATGGTTCGAGAGAATTGATAAAGAAGTATTCATATTTTCAGATGGTTTCAGAGAATTGATAAAAAGTCTTAATATTTTCAGATGGTTCGAGAGAATTGATAAAAAGTATTCATATTTTCAGATGGTTCGAGAGAATTGATAAAAAGTATTCATATTTCAGATTGTTCCAGAGAATTGATAAAAAGTATTCATATTTCAGATTGTTCGAGAGAATTGATAAAGAAGTATTCATATTTTCAGATGGTTTCAGAGAATTGATAAAAAGTGTTAATATTTTCAGATGGTTCCAGAGAATTGATAAAAAGTATTGACATTTTCAGATAGTTCCAGAGAATGTATAAAAAGTGTTCATATTTTTAGATGGTTTCAGAGAATTTATAAAAAAGTTTAATTTATTTAGATGGTTCCAGAGAATTAAAAAGTTTTTATAATATGAGATGGTTCCAAGGAATAAATAACAAATTTTGATATATTTAGATGGTTCCAGAGAATTGTTAAATCGTTTGATATTTTCCGATGGTTCCAGAGAATAAATAAACCGTTTGATATTTTCAGATGGTTCCAGAGAATTTATAAAAAAAAGTTAAATTTATTAAGGTGGTTCCAGATTGTTCGATCTCCAGAAACATATCATCAATACTTCACTAAAACTGTTGTTATTCTTCTAATAATCTCATGTTGGGTTGTCAGGTATAACATAACAAGATCAGAATTTAACAAATTGAAGAGAGATCGCTGAACTAACTACCGCCGGTTCAAATCCTGAATCTGAGATTTGTTTAAGATTTATGAGTATTTGAATCAATGATTCAGGATTTGAACCGGCGGGAGGTTGTTTAGCGACTCCTTCAATTCAAAAAATTCCGTTCCAGAACAGAGAACTTTTAAATTATCCTGCCTAATTTATATTTTTCTTAAATTCGTAGATTAGAGAAATTGAAAGTTAAGTTATAATGATTAAATTATCTTTATTTTATTTAAAATTTAAAAATTTAAAAATTAAATCTTTTAAGTAAAGGCGAAAACTAAAACAATTGTGCCAAATACTCTTCTGAATTATATATATGTCTAGGAATATAAACTAAACAATATTACATAATTATCTATTATATATTATATATGTCTAGGAATATAAACTAAACAAGATTATATAATTAACTATTATAAATCAAAAATAAATTATTTTACCTAATAATGTTTGCAGTCTTTTATTGCTTTTCTGTACATAGCCAAGAGAAATATAAAAACATAATTAGATTTTTATTAAAAAGAATATTTTATAACAAATAAAAACTTTATAAAATCCAAATATTGTAAAGTGTATAATAAACAACTTCAAAGTGAAAACTGTATTTTGATGTTTTTTTATATCATTAGCACAGAGTTAATGAACACATACTAAATGATGGGAAATTTAAAAGACACTTTTATAAGATTCAGAAAAAAGTGTTTATATTTCTTTTACATTAAGTTTTTGCTAAAACCTCAAAATGTAATATACTTTTTAAATTGTGTCGATTAGTAAAAAAAAAATAACAATCTGTAGTAAAATTAAACTTGAAAACAAAACAAAATCAAAAAGCAAAGAGAAAAAAAAGCTGTAAGAGTCAAATTAAAAACCGTCAAATTAACTTTAAACAATCGTCAATGCGAAAGAAAGCAAAAAGAATAATCGAAAATAATTAAATTTTGTTTAATTTGTTCTTATATAAAGTAAATACATCCTCATGAATGATATAATGCATTACTCAAAACAGGGGTGTTTATTTTCACAAGAGATCGGAATTTTTAAATTTAAGGATCAATGCTTGACCCTAAAATTAAAGTTTTTCTGCTGGGTAGGACTTAATCACGTGATATTAAAGAGGAATTAGATTTTTCCGTAGATCTACATAAGATGCTAATTGATCGATGTTTGATCTCGAGATTCACAACAACAAAGATCTGACTTCATTTACATTTTTGAATTTGACTACATACAACGAAATGTACTGCTAAAATCAAAATAGTTTCGAAATTATGTGTCTGTGTTTAATCATTTTTATGCACATTAAACATGAAATTTATGAGTTTCATAATGTTTGTATGTGTTTACGAAAAAACTAAATAATAAAAAGTTTAAGTGCTAATTATATTCTATACAGTAAGGTTACAAAGAACACATATCCTATACAAAAATCTCTGTATGTTTGTTTGTTTGATCATCTAAACTCATAAACCCATTGAACTGAGATCTAGACAACTAGATAAAGTTAGTAATCAGTTTTTTAAGACAGCCTAGACTTTAAAGTGTCGCAACGCCTTGGTCTTTGTCTTTACCTCACCAATGTACACATATATTTTGTAGCTCTAGGCATATATAAATTAAAAATGCAACCAGGATGTTTCTAGCGTAGGTTTAAATCTTGTTTTTGGAAAAATACTGATAGAATTTTGCCGCAAGAGCTTGCACATCATGCACATTACATTGTGATTTTGTAACTCATTCTTAGCTTGGGTTGAACAATTGTTTAGGTCTCCAGTCATAGCTGGGTTCCCAAACTAGTATGAATAGAACATATTCATGTTAATTAATTCAAAGTATATCTACTCTACTGGGATCAAAGAGTAAAACTAAACAAAAAAGTCAAACTTAAAAATATTAAATTTAGATAACATAATTTTTTTTAGTTTTATTATTGCGATAGTTCCTATCTATACAAACATATACACCACGCAGGTAAAAATTTTATTGTAAACGTTATATATTAGATAATCTTAATTAAATATCATTATTTTCTTTTTTTAAGGATTTCTTGATAAACAGAGATAACTGTAGATGTGATTTTATTGTTAATCAGTGGTAAGTATAGTTTTAGCTTAAACATTGCTTTATATCTATCATTTTACTGCTTAAACGCCGCGGGAAGTAAAGGGAGGGCCGAGGGCCTCCGAGACCTTTTTGGGTTTATGAGCCTCCCGGACGTAGCGAGGGAGCTCAAGAAGGTTCAGAACATATGAAGGCTAATTGGGGTTTTCCTCAATTTAATTATCCTCATGAAAACTCCCAGGTTAAGTAATTTATCGTATAATCTCCTTGTTCAAAGAAATAACGAACAGTGGGGGATTGAATAACAAGTTCTATTTACAGGGTGGGTAAGTAATCAGTCTCTCTAAGAAATTAGCATCCCAATTTTTTCATTGTGTTGTACTGTACTGTGCTGTGCTGTGCTGTGCTGTGCTTTGCTGTGCTGTACTCTACTGCACTGAACTGTACTGCAATGTAGTGTACTATACTGTACTGTACTGTAATGTACCTGTAATGTACTGTACTGTACTGTACTGTACTGTACTGTACTGTACTGTGCTGTACTCTACTGCACTGAACTGTACTGCAATGTAGTGTACTATACTGTACTGTACTGTAATGTACCTGTAATGTACTGTACTGTACTGTACTGTACTGTACTGTACTACTGTACTGTACTGTACTGTACTGTACTGTACTGTACTGTACTGTACTCTACTTTACTGTACTGTATTGTACTGTTATGTACTGTAATGTACTGCACTTTGAATATTGTTTTTTACTGTAAACAGTACTTTACTGAGTAGTTAATTCTGTACTTGTGAGTGGTTGTACTCTAAAGTGTTTCAACATACCGCAGCACTTGCGGTACTGTACATATTTGTTTTGTTTAGGTATGCTCTTGTATCTAGCTCAGTTTCGTTTTGGCTACCTTCAGCTGGAATCATTTATTTCTATTATCAGGTTATACTTTTATATTTTAAATTTTTTTATATCTATACATTTTTATAATCTATACATTTTTATATCTTTACATTCAAATCCATTTTGAAAGTTCGCGATATTTACATTATGCTTCTTTTTGACTTTTTAACAATTTAATCATTTGGTTTAGAGGGACGAACCGCGTAATTTCAAGTGACCTATACACGAAAAGATTAAAACTCCTGATTAACAACGGTACCCTTAAAAGCTTAACCCTAACCAGGCTGTGTGAGGGGGGAGGGGGGCGTTTAATGAATATAGATTTAATTGTTGATAGTTTTGAAAAATGATTTTAATAATGGTTTCTCCATAGATTAATTACAATAACAGATATGACGCTAGATGTCGTCATTTCAAGATTTAGACGTTTTTCGTTCACAATAACCCCAAAGGAGTTACGCGCATGCTGCGTATAACTTAAAGGCAGAGAGAGAATCTGTTCTACGCCGACTGCCCGTAACTTCTTTGGGCTTCTGCCTTAAGGTTATTGTAAACGAAAAACCCCTAAATCTTGAAAAGAGGGCATCCAGAATTTTCCACATAATTGATCAGATATAGGTTTCGAGGGTACTGTTGGGAATCAGCATCTTAATCTTTGCCTGTTGGGTGACTTGAATTTACCCTTGTGTCCCTTTAAGACTATAAAATAACTGTTCTTGAAACCCTTCAGCACCTGCTGAATATACAGGGTGAGTAAAAAAAGCGTGATTTGCGGCGCCTTTTTTGTGCAACTCTTCTGTTTTTGTGTTTTTTCAATATTTTTTTGAAAATTTGTAATTTTTTTTGGTACTCCAATGGTACAAGAGAAAATCTGCGAACCTTTTTTTCTTCTCAAAATCAAAAGTTCAGAAAAGCAAAATGTGCATAAATTATTTCTATCGAAATCTAAAATTTTTCAAAGATTGAATCAAAGAATCACTTAACATTCGCAACTTTTAGTTCTGGTCAAATTTTTAGGAAGTTATTTAAATTCTCTCATTCCTTTCTTCTTTGTATATTCTTAAGTATTAAATACACGCTGTTCAGTTGAAACCTTAAGAACCATTAAAAAACAATTTGTCCGGAAAAACTTAGATTTTAGGAGAAAAAAAGATTCGCGAATTTTTTTTGGGCCATTGAAGTACCAAAAAAAAATTACAGATTTTCAAAAAATATTGAAAAAAACACCATACAGGAGAGTTACACAAAAAAGGTACAATTTTGCACCAGGCGCCGCAAATCACACTTTTTTTTGACTCACCCTGTATTTCTTAGATCTTTTCTACAAATGAATTTTCTTGTTTAATATCTGTTTAGATAACAATGTGCGCTATAGAAAAGCATAGAGCTGACATCAAGCATCAAATAAGAAGGTTAGATTTTTTAATAAACAAATCTTGACCATTTTCTAATCAAAAGAAAATACCTGAAAATGAAAAGATTTAGTTTTCGGTTTACATTAAAACATATCATTTTCTACAAATTATCTTCTATATATAAATTTGGCTTGTCTGTCTGTTTGTCTGTCTGTTTGTATCCAATAAACGTCAAAACGTCTGAACCGATCGGGCCCAATTTTTTGTGGGACATCACGTGACCACAAGGAAGGATTATGAATGATAAAAATTTAAAAAGAATGTGTTTTAAAAGTTCTTAATTTCGTAAAAAAAAATTAAATTCTTGAAAATCCACGATTTTTTTTTAAAAATCCGCAAAAATGTTTTCTTCTTTGTTTTAAAATTTAAACAAAAAGAACATGGTCACAATTTAAATAGAAGATTGGCGCGAAGCGCCCTAAAAGCATAGTATCTTAAAGTTAAAATCACGTTCCTACACACACTAATCCCTTAGTTTTAAATCAGAAAGAAATGTCGTCGTTTGTCTTACTTTAAAACGATGTAAAAACTCTTAATTTTCTTCGTTGTCTCTGCTGGATAAAACCGTGTCATTTTAAAAACAAAATTTCAGTTGCTCAATGCAACTCTTTTAATCAATGTCAGAGACAAATATTTGTAATTGATGTAAATGAGTATGCATAAAAATTATTACTGTTAGACGTGAATAAGTAGGAGAATAATTAACATTCTACCTTATACTGAATGAAGGAGAGGGTGTATACATTGCCCCATTTTTTATCGTTATTTGTGGACGTAAGTTACGTTTTCTCAGACAAACAAATATTTAGAGGTTTATAAAAGTCTTTTATTCTGAATATTTGTCTCTAATTTGTGTATTTGCTGACTGCACATAGATAAATTGGTTTCTATTCAGAGAGACATTTTTTCCTATCTAAGCTAAGCTTTAGTAGTCTCCTAACCTTCTTCTGTTTTAACCCTATCATGATTGGGAGAGGACCCACAAACACACAGTTCCCCTTGGCCCATCTCCTCTTCCATTGTCCTTTCACTCTATACATCTTGTACTCTGTATTCAAGCCACGCTCTCTTATCTAACTTAAAGGAAATTATAGATCAAAGAAATAAAAGCGAGTATATTTATTTTATTTCAAAAATGTTTCATCTGGGTGCTAAGCCTTCTACTCTAACTTTGATATTTAATAAAATTTTGAAATTCAGTTAAAGGTACTGCTGTTTATTTTCTTAGTAACCCCATTCACAACGGTACCCTTTTACACCTTTAAACGATCAATAAAGTAGAAGATATTTCTAGCTTTAAATGTGTTTATTTTTATAATTGTCCCATTGTCTCTCCACAGTAGAAGTGCGTAAGTTACTTTTGTAAAATAACCACAATTGAAAATAATTAATTTTCAAAAAGGTAAACATGGATCTCTCATTCTTGTTCATTATTAAAAACATTGCCTAAGCTATTAATAATTAAAGATATTGTCTGAGCTATCTATTATCAAAGATATTGTCCAAGCTATCAATAATTAAAGCTATTGTCTAAGCTTTCCGTATCAAAGATAGTATCTAATCTATCCATTATAAAAGATATTGTCTAATCTATCCATTATTTAAGATATTGTATAAGTTATCCATTATAAAAGAAAGTGTCTAATCTATCCATTATTAAAGATAGTGTCTAATTTATCCATTATAAAAGATAGTGTCTAATCTATCCATTATAAAAGATATTGTCTAATTTATCCATTATTTAAGATATTGTCTAAGTTATCTATTATAAAAGATAGTGTCTAATCTATCCATTATAAAAGATAGTGTCTAATCTATCCATTATAAAAGATAGTGTCTAATCTATCCATTATAAATGATAGTGTCTAATCTATCCATTATAAAAGATATCTATTATTAAAGATATTTTCCTATCAATTATTTTTGATGAACACTGAATTTTCTGGGGATTTGTATTTGATGTGATATTTGACAGGAATTCTTCTCTGATCTTCCTTAAAATAGAAAATTCTTCTAAATCTTTTATCCTTTAGATTGAGTAGAATCTAGTGTCTCCTGTTTTGTAGTTTTCTAATCTCAACAATGCTGACAATTCAACTTTTTTTTGCAATATTTGTGTCATCCAAGCACTTCTTATTAAACATTTTCAACATTTTTATTTCAGTCAAGACAAGACATTTTTATTCAACCTTAGTTTAATTTGTGTTAACTGTCATGTAATTTTTGGGTAAAATAATTTTGAAAATGTTGAGATCATATAATTCCAACAATAATGTGTCCACCTTGAGAACCAGAAAACCAGGGGAAATGAAGGTTGATATGGGGTTTTTCTTTTCATGCAAAATAACGCTAAAAATTTGTAATTTGCAATTGTAGTTGCAACTTGATATATCTAAACAATTTGGACCTTTTTCTAGAAATAGTAAAGTTGTAAATCGTTAAATCTTTAATTTTAAGAAAGACAATTAGAATTCCACTGTTTTAAGAGTTTTATATTTTAGAAATATAATTTTCATGTTCAAATAAGAAAAATTGAATGTAAGAAAATTTTATCTGTTTTCAATCATAATTCATAACTTCTCTTATTTAAAAACTATACAGAATTTAAATGCTTTTAATTTCCAATAAGCAAACGGACAAATTTACTTTTAGACAGAAATTTTCGAGATAATTCAAAATTGAGTTTTTGTGATTTTGAATACACAAAATTTGATAAGTCTTGAAACTGTTTTACCCTGAAGATATTCTCTTTCACTTTACTTTTCTATTCTTTTTGCACTCACAATATTAAATTTAAATATTTATAGATCTCCCTTCTCTCCCCCCCCCCCCATCCCACCCCTTCCTCCCTCTTTTGCTCTTTCTTTCTTTTCCCATTTCAGTAAATTGTCTATTGAAGTATGAATGAAAGTATGAATAAAATGGTTTTTATTGAATCTATAAAATATTGTACAGTGAGATTTAAAAAACTATGGAAAAGTTAGACGACTTGGACACTCAAGTTATGATTTTAAATAAACATAAAAGACAGCAATTGTGCAGTGTACACAGACCCATTTAACTAAATGAGTTGATTTACAATGTACTGAAAAACTAATTGCTGTTTACAGCATCAAATACAGATTACTTTACTGTCGTCACAGCTTTCTGAATCTTACTGTTATAGGTCAACCTTCTCTGCGGGCTCAGGGCTCACACAGATAGCAAACCTAGGAACTTTTTCAAGTGGTACTCAGGTAATACAACATCAATCAATCAATCAAACGATTAAATTGATCAAGCTTAAAACTGAGACGGGTAAACCTGCACCGAAATATGAGGTTTAGATCATCATCAACATCAAACTTTTAATTAGTCAACTAAACCGGTTCTAGAATCAAAGAAATTAACAAAAAAAATGAATAACCGACTAAGTATCTCAAAAAAAAACAATTAATTAAACAAATCCATAATACAATCAATTAATTCATTTGCGAATCAATCAATATCAAAGTTTATAAACACAGATATCGTCAAATATAATCAAACCAATCAAATAAAATAAAGAAAAAAAATAAAATAAAATAAAATTTTTATTTGAATTATTATTTGAAATATTTCCCATGTTAAATCAAGAATATAAAAGATAATTTATACATTTTGGCAAATGATTAAATTAAATCGCTTAAAAGCAATTTAAACACTTTTCTAGGGTTTGATTGATCCCTTGGCAGCCCCTGATTCTAGTTCTCGAACCTCCTATTCATCCCAATATCAGATGGGGTCTTTGAACAGGACAATCAGTACCTCACCAGCAGTAGAGAGGTAAACTAATTTTACATTCATAAATTATAAAAAAGTGCATTAATTTTGGGAACAGACGTAATAAAGAATGACAGTCCATTTGAAACCAATATCTGACCAATAATTTGATTTGTGGAACTGATTTCATTTTTACTATTTCCCTAATGGCTTCTTCAGCAGAAATTCGAAAGTCACTAAATTAGAGTGTACACCACAATTGAGTAATACTCAATGTTCGAAGAAAAAACTGGATTTCTCATTCAGGCAAAGCTTAACGTGCACCACCGCGTTCCTCTTTAATTGTAAAGTCACAGTCCCTTTAAATTGAAATGGTGTACAGACTACAGAGACACCTAGTGTTAATCAACTGAATCTAGGAACGAGTCTTTGCGAGAGAATATAAACGCTGCTAAAACCTTGTTAATCCTGTTAGTGGTCTACTTGGTGTGCTGGTTTCCTTTCTTTCTCACATACATCATAGACTCATTCACGGTAAGTTTCTTCCCCCCTCCGCAAACTCTCGACACTTAATAAAAGACCCCCGCCCCCTCGCTTCCAGCCATTTTTGGTTTAATAATAACACACAAAAGTATTTCTCAAACGAATTTTGCAAACAACGAGACAAATATTTACTTTCTTTCAACAACTACAGGGTGTCTCACATCACTTAAAAAATGTTTGCAGAAAATACCAGACTTTTTGAGTATTATGTCAGTATTTTGGCGTTAAAGCTTGGAGATAATCTATTGATATGGAACACCGTTTAAAAAGTAAAAAATGCTTCATTGAAAGAAATTAAACCTTTTGATTTCATGATCATTGATACTACTTTCTCAAAAAAATCCTTACTTTTGCGAACAGATTTTGCTGGGAATTACCATTTAACCCTATTCCTGCTTGGGGGGGGGGTCAAGTTGACCCCCCCCCCTGTAGTTTTTTTTACATAACTCAAAAAGTATTGGACTGAGGCTGTTGAAATTTTCTGACTTTTCCTGCATACCCAAAGCCCTCCCTTTAGGCCTAAAACCGGGCTTTAATACTAACTGCCTGAGTCCTCAGGCACACTGCCTACATGACTGCTTTTTCCTGTAACAAACAAAATCTTTGCTTTGACCCACTTCCACTTGTCAGATTTTGATAAAATTTAGCTTTTTGGAAAGCCTTTGACATAAGGAAACGAATTGCACAAGTTTTGCATAAAAAAAAAATTACAAATTTTTTTGCAAAAAACCTGTCAAAGGAAATTTGCACATTTTTAGTTTTTCTTGATTAAAAATCAGGTTATTTAAAATTTCGTAAAATTTTTTGCATATTTGAAATGGCATGGTCAAGGGCTTTTCAACAATGTATAATTTATCATTTTTTGGAAAAATTACTTTTTGCAAAACATTTTTACCATATAACTGGATTTTGCGATAAAAAATTTATTTTTTGCAAATTTGCAAATTTTTGCAGATTCTAAAAGTAGAGCACAAGAGCTTTCCAATGATGTATCATTTGTCATATTTGGACATCAAACATGGGATTTAGAGGGGGGGTCAAATTGACCCCCACCCCAGCATATCCTGGTTTTCAAGTACCCCATCAGTGATAGGGTTAATCCCTCAGGATTTCTTCTAGTTCTCCCAAGTGCAGACTAAAGCTATTTATCGGAATTATATATTATACTTTTACCTATACCAGATTATTTTAAACCGATTTTATATATTGGTTTAAAATATTGTTTTATTCTCTTATTACAATGCTTGGATGGCTGCCAAATTGCTTATCTTCAAGAAAAAATTGCTTATTTGGCAGTCATATAACTTTTGTTACAAAATAAGCGATTTTCTGTTTTTGAATGCAAGCTATAGGTGCCCCACGAAACATGAAAATTGGTAAATAGTTTAAAATGTCTTTTCCATAATGTTTAAGTTGTTTGATACCAAAGAGAATAATAAAAAATATTTCATGGCAGTCAAATTATAGTAAAATTGATTTTAAAGTAATTTGAGTAACAGATTTTTTAAAACTAAATAAACTGTAAAAAGTCTTTAAAAACATCTATTCTATTTTAAAAGGTTGTAATTTCTGTATGTCTGTTTGTTTGTCCGATCATAACTCAGGAACGTCTGGACCAATTTGCCTAAAATTTTGATTGGAGAACTCAGGAGATCCACAGAAATATTTTTAGCTTTTGAAATTCTAATTTGAGTGGGTTGACGTCTTGAATAGCGAAATTTCAGTTTTCCGGTTAAATCGTTCAAGTGCGGGTAAAAGGCGGGAGTAACTTTTAGTAAGAGAACATCTGGGCAGCGTCCAAAGATAATATTTATATATATTTAATCTTTGGCAGCGCCGGGTTCCCAAGCTAGTACAATGAAATTGAAGACCTACTGTCATATCTCGTGGGACACCCTGATTGCTTTTTTATTTCGTAATTTATAGTCTGAAATTTCATAAACCTAAATGAAAACTTAACTAAAAAATTAGACAGCATAACGTTTTTTATTAAATATGTTTCGACTATTTGAAATCAAAAATTTTTAAATGTTGTATAGCATGAAAGACCAATTAAAAGTTAAGATTTACACAAATATTCTATTTCAGAATTATTTTTTTTATTTTTAAACGTTTGATTACTCTTTTCTAAACGATTTATTTGCTAACAAAATTTAGGATTATAATGAACAACTTTAATTGTTATTTGTTTAGTATAACGTAGTTCCTGATTACTGGATAACATTTGTATTCTGGTTGGGGTACTGTAACTCAGCTGTCAATCCATTTATCTATGCTGTTAAGTTCAAGGTATTTAAGATTTAAGTATTTAAGAAAAAAAATGACAATATCTTCCTCAATTTTTTTTGTAATAAATGATTTCTGAAGTGTAGATATAAGTTTCCTAATAAATATCATGAAACATGTACTGTTTAAATGTAAAGTACATGTTCTTAATGTGTACTTAATGTTCTAAATGTGAACAATATGTTCTGAATGTATACTATATGTTTGAAGTATTTAATGTATATTATGAATGTGTACTTTATGATTTGATTGTATTATATATTCTGAATTTGTACTAAAATATATTTTTCGCGTAAATTTTTTTTTCTCGAAATTTCTCTTCGTTTTAGCATTTTTCGCTTCATTCATTTTGCGAAAAAATGCGAAATTTCGCGAAAATATTGCGAAACGTTTCGTTCTCTGCAAACCCTACTATTAGGGTGCTAAAATCTTTTAATTGTACCTTGCATCATTTTCGATAAAACAATGATACATTTTTTTGGTGGATTTATAATTTTTTTGGTGGATTTTCAAAACTTTGCGAAAATTGAAAATTTTGTAAGACAATTTTTTTTGCAATTTTTAGCAGCTTCATTTGAGGCCTCATAAAAATGTGGGCCAGATCGGCATAGCCGTTTTGACGTTTATTAAACATAAAGTACTGACAAACAGACCCGGACACCGAGACAAGCAATGTATATATTCATATAGATGTTTTGAATGTAGTCTACTGTATGTGTACTATAATTCTCCTTTTCGTGATAAGGGTTCAATTTATTTCTGATTAAAAAGTAAGAACAATTATAATTATTATAACATCGATGTTGTTTTCGCCAAAAATGTAACTGCTGCCCGCTTACAAACAGGTTTTTGAGAATATTCTCAAACATTATTTATCCTGTTGCTTCTGACTGTTGATAGTTTTTCCCCCTTTTTTTCTTTAATATTTCCTGAACTGTCCATTATGTCAAATAATGTAATCAACCCCTATCTCTCTCCCCGCCTTAAAGGGAGTGTTCGCGAAAAATGAAAGGGTTTTATTAGGCTGATATTAAATTTAATTTTATATAGAATGCTTATAATGTTGCGTAGTTTTATTGGTAGTTTCAAATTTAATTTAATAATTTGCGATCTGAAAGGAAAAATGCGCCCTACCATTTTTCGCGAAAACTCCCTTTATGTCTACTTTAAAATGAAGTTATCCAATATTTTCTTCTTGCAATCTTCTTTAAAATATTTAAAACTAAATCTTATATCAGGAATTCCAGCCAGCCTTCCTGGATACTCTCGGGTGTCTGGGACTCTGTACTTGTTGTAATAAAGATGTAAGAAACTTCAACTCTTCAGCCCAAGGTGTACATTTTAGGGTAAGATATGCAGCAGTGGACCCATAACACAGTGGAATAGAAAGCTAATATTTTTAATAATCCAATGAAAATTAACATAACAATTACAATTTTAAATGTTGGAGGACATTCCAAAGGCTAATCGATGTTTCCAAAAAAATCTAAAATAGTCCATAATTTTTCTTTAAAAAGCTGCAGAGTTACTGATTAATTTTAAACTTTATTTATTTGAAAAGCCATTGAAAAAGGATGCTATGATAAGTGTCACATGTTAATAATTGTCAAAAGTAGAAATAAACATTTTTAATATTTTTCAGGCTCTTTTTCAGTCTTTATAGGGGGGGGGAGGATGCGACCCCTCCCGGAACTGCAGAAGAGTCGGAAATATGTTTACACATATTTATTTTTACTTTTACAGTATTATCCACAAAGGATGAAACTGTAAAGACGACCTTAAACCTTTGAAACCTGACGATTATGCCTTTAATATAGTTTTTTAAAGGCTTGATAAATAATTTGCAAAGAAAGTTTACAGTTGCAAGGAATCATGAAATTAAGAAAAGTAAAAATAGTAAAATAGTAAAAATTTCGTATGGTCATCTGAATTCTGAACGTAATGGGTTACATAAAAACCAATTTTTATCCTGATATTTGACGCCATGTATACTTTTTTTAGGAGCAGCACACAAGAACCTCTACGACGGAACCAAAACCTAACGCTGTATAGGCTGATCTTCTACTCCTACCAATCTACCAAAAAAAAATACATTTGTTAAAAATATGCTAAAACTCTAAATCAAAAGTGGATGTACATTTTCTTCTTTTTCGGGATGAATTTCATTTTATTCCTTTATTCTTCTAAAATCAAATACACGAAGGAAAGAGTTGATCTTAAAAAATAAAAATAGAAAGAGAGGTGGTTGAAATCAAACCAAGATTTAAGTATTTTGCACCCGCCTCAAGGTCTAAAGAGCACATTTATATAAACACTATAAATGACTAGATAATGGTGTCAAGTACAGTTGTGAATCGGGTCTTGCCATCGTTGCATAGAGGGTCACTTTAAATTACGCTAACACTTCATTTAAGCAAGGAATGGATTATCTTCATCTCTGTAAGGAATTGAGTCTTCGCCACAAACTCAAACTTTCTAATGTCTATATCTTTGTAACCTGAATTGTATTTCAAACTTATTGTATTGTATTTCAAACTTAAATTATAAGAATTCATAGTATTCATTATATTATTGTATTTCAAACTTAAATTATAAGAATTCATAGTTTGAAATATATAAGGTCTACAACATTAAGTTGCAAAGATATAGGAATTAGAAAATCAGAGTTTGTGACAAAGACTCAGTTCCTTTGTAAATTCTTATCTCTGGTAAATTTTTCTTTTAAGTTTTTCACAAGAACTTTTGAATAAATAGAACAGAAGGAAAGTTTTTTTTTCATGAAAGGATGCTGAAAAAGTAACTAGAATTTTGCATAGTGTTTTTTTTAATGCCTCACAAAAATCTTAGATATTATTCAGAATTTAAAATTGTTTGCTCTCTAAGTTTACTTTCAGTTCATTATGCAAATGATGTTAATTGACAAGAATTTGTGGCGAAGTCGTACAAATAAATCCGCAAAGAAAAATTACTTTTTTACCTGTTAAGTAATGTAATTTTCGAATTCCTATGCCTTACCAACCTGGAGATGTGAACCCTTGGCATTTCAATCTTAAACTTATAGAATTAGCAGAATTCCATGGTTCCAATATCTAGGGTCTACAATTTAAGATTTCAAAGATATAAGGATTTATAAAGAGAGTTTGAGGCATGGTAAGGAGTTATTTTAATTAGACCAATGACCTTATAGAAAATAATAGATTTATACAAACTAAACGAAAATGCGCCCAATCGAATGTCTCCAATCTCCATATAAACAAAAAATTTTACATACATACATTTCATATTCTGGTTGCTACTGAGATCAATAAAAGTTTACAAAGGGCTGTGAAAACTTAAATTTAAAATATTTAGTTAAATAAAAACTAACTTGTATAACTTTATCGCATATTGAAATATGATGCATAATAATGTTAATATTATAAGATTATAGATCTCATAAATGTTTAAGCTGTTAATCATTGTTATATTTTACAAAACAAGGTTACAAATAAACTTAGATATATTGGCTTTAATAACTTGTATTTTATACAGTGGGGCCCATAAACAAGTGGAATAGGTAAACGCCGTTAAGTCAATGTTATGTGTATTGGATGTGGTTATAAAGCAAAACATTTTAACAGTAGCTTGGAAATCAACTTAGTTTATATGGTTTTTTTTCATAGTTTTTTGGGTCTCATTGTAATTTTTTTTGGATACGTTAGAAAAAGATTATAATTTGAAGCATACACAGAAATTTTTTTTTAAAAAAACATTTTTGCTTAAATCAAAGTTACTTTCAAAATGTAGGCAACAAATTGTTTTAAATATAGGATTTTTGTGAATGCTTCAAATTTAACAACTAAGAATAATTATGCGTTTGCTTGTAACCCTGTTTCAAATCTGTTATTTTGGAGTAAAAATATGTAAATATTTATAGTTATAGTTTTTATTGTGACAAAAATACTTGTTATTTTGTAAAGTTTTTTCTTTTCTTATTGTTAATTAAACGAAAAAAAAACTTTGATTATTTTTACCAAAGACGTTGTTATAAATTATAGTGTAGAGCAAAAAAACATATTATTTGTTATACCAGATTACAAAAATTGTTCATAACTAAACATTCTGTTAATCAAATATAAAATTATAGATGCAGACTTTTTATTAACTTTTAAATCATAATTTTGTACAAATAAACATGGAAAAAAGAAACGACATAATAATAGTCTTTGATTTCCAAAGAAAAAGTGTTGGTTTCATGAATGTCTCTACAAAACATAGTGTTATTATATCTATATCTATAAAATTGACGGAAAATCGGTCTTTTGAGCAAGTTTGTTACATTTACCCAAGGATGTAAGGCAAGAAAAGTTATTTCAGTGGTGTACGAATTTTTTGTACTGCAGTGTACTGTCTTTGGGCTCTAATGTAAATACAAGAGTAGGGGTGTCACAGCCTGACATGGGATCCATCTTTCAAATAAAAATCAATGACATTCTGGTCATAGGAATTTATAACATTAATTATCAAAATTAAAGAAAAAACTTTAAGTTATTCAATTGTAATATTTTACTAAGGTTGTGGAAAAACTTCTGCACTTTTAATTATTTAACAATGAGACCCAGTATATGTACAAATTGGATCACAACGTCTTTTTTGTTGAAAAAAAAATCTCAAGAGCCGAAATAAACCGTCAACTATTAACTATATTATGCTCGTTTTGGGGTAAGGAATGGTTCAATTCGTTCAATACTTAAAAGGAAAGCATCGACGAAAATTATTTTGTTTTAGGCTTCACTTTACGGTGGTAGGCGATTATATCAATATCATGAAGACAACTTTCGATTTTAATTTTGATTTATATCCAGCTTTTAAACAGATAATCAACAAAATTTGTGTAGCATTATGAAAGGTTATTGCAGAAGCTTATATTGTCTTTTAAAAAGGGGATCGAAGCTCCTTTAGACTTAAAATATTAGAAATAGAATTATTTTTCATGGCTGACCACTTTCTATAGAAAGATGTTTCATAGCTTTGCCGCACTGATGAAGCCAGCAGTCAAAATGCATTAGAATAAAAAGTTAACTCATCAAATTAATACATTTATCTTGTGGATATCGAGTTAAATCTTGGTTAAATCTGTGTAACTGTGCCATATCTCTATCTAAATTTTCGACTCTGTTTTTATCTATCTATAATATGTTCAGTTGGAAAAAAAGGTAGAGTAAAAAAAGCGATATTTAACTGGAATTTGCTGTAATTACATTTCATGTTCAATGGACTATTAAAAATCAAACCGCGAGTCTAAAAGTCGTGTTTGCGTATTCTATAGTTTTCTGGTTCGCACTGAATTTAACTAGTCTGTTGATTCGTATCGAAATCAGTCCAAATTTGTATGATTAACACTTTTATCAATCAATCAAAAACAGAATAACCTGTAAAATTTTACATAATTAGTTTTTGAATTATACACAAACAATACGACCGCCGTTTAAGAATCAATTAAGCTAGATTAATTTCTGAAAAGAATGGAGCCAATCCGAAAGTCTCCTTGTCTGTGGAAGATGTGTACAGTGTCCCTAACTAGAATTTACAATTTCTTTTAAAGCAGAGTCTTACAGGTCGTCTTGAGAAAATATAATTATCAAAGAATATTGGGTCTAATTATCTTTGGAAAATTTAAATTTGTTTAATAGTTCAATAAAGTGTCTTCTATTTCAAAACTTATTTATTTTTTTATTTTATATTTTTGGTATTGTCCAATCTTTTTTTATTAACTAGTGCGGGATGTTATTGACATTTAATTCACACAATTTAATTTCAAATATATGTATTATTGAAAAGTTGCTAATTTCAAATATTTATTTTTGAGAAACAATTACATGGTTTAAGGCTGGGATTTGAAAAAGTTCATCTACAATTGTTGCAAGGTGGGATTTGAAAAAGTTCATCTACAATTGTTGCAGGGTGGGATTTGAAAAAGTTCATCTACAATTGTTGCAGGTGGGATTTGAAAAAATTCATCTACAATTGTTGCAAGGTGGGATTTGAAAAAGTTCATCTACAATTGTTGCAGGGTGGGATTTGAAAAAGTTCATCTACAATTGTTGCAGGGTGGGATTTGAAAAAATTCATCTACAATTGTTGCAGGTGGGATTTGAAAAAATTTGTTTATAATTTTGCAGGGGGGGATAAGAAAAAGTTCGTCTAAATATTTGCAAGGTGGGATTTGAAAAAGTTCGTTTACATTATTGCAGGGAGGGATTAAAAAAAGTTCCTCTAAATATTTGCTTTGTGGGATTTGAAAAAGTTCGTTTATAATTTTGCAGGGGGGGATAAGAAAAAGTTCGTCTAAATATTTGCAAGGTGGGATTTGAAAAAGTTCGTTTACATTATTGCAGGGAGGGATTAGAAAAAGTTCCTCTGAATAGTTGCAGGGTGTGATGTAAAAAAGTTCGTTTACATTGTTGCAGGGAGGGATTAAAAAAAGTTCCTCTGAATAGTTGCAGGGTGTGATGTGAAAAAGTTCGTTTACATTGTTGCAAGGAGGGATTAAAAAAAAGTTCCTCTGAATAGTTGCAGGGTGTGATGTAAAAAAGTTCATCCAAATGATTGTAGGATGGGATTTGAAAAAGTTCGTCTACATGGTTGCAGGATGGGATTAGAAAAAGTTTATCAACATGGTTGCAGGGTGCGATTAGAAAACGTCCGTCCACATGGTTGCAGAGTGAGGTTTAAAAGATCCTCTACATGTTTGCAGGGTGGGATTTGAAAAACTTCCAAAGAATTCTGGCAGCTTCTATTTTGTCAGATCCTTTATTGAAGGGGTAGGTGTGCCCATAGTTCCCTTCACACTTGGTAATCTAAAAATACAGGATGAGTTAAAAACGAAATAAACATTTTTAACACAACGAAGAAAGAATTCGATGGGAAAATGTTAGTTATTTTTAAAAAATCATAAAAATTCATAGATAATAAAATTATTGAATAAAAATTTAGTTTGATTTTCGTGTCTTGAAAACAATTCCAACTCCCTACACTACCTCGGCACCATCATCACAGTTTAGTCTAGAGGTACAGATCCAGTCACTTACTCCATCCATACCTAATTATTAATTAAAGGGAGTGTTCGTGATTAATAATCGTCTAGTCTGTATTCATATTAATAAACCAGAGATATTAGTTAGTCTAGTCTGTATTCATATTAAAAAACCAGAGATATTAATTAGTCTAGTCAGTATTCATATTAATAAACCAGAGATATTAGTTAGTCTAGTCTTTATCATATTAATAAACCAGAGATATTATTTAGTCTAGTCTGTATTCATATTAATAAACCAGAGATATTGGTCTAGTCTAGTCTGTATTCATATTAATAAACCAGAGATATTAGTTAGTCTAGTCTGTATTCATATGAATAAACCAGAAATATTGGTCTAGTCTAGTCTGTATTCATATTAATAAACCAGAGATATTAGTTAGTCTAGTCTTTATTCATATCAATAAATCTAAGATATTAGTTAGTCTAGTCTGTATTCATATTAATAAACTAGAGATCATAGTTAGTCCAGTCTGCATTCCTATTAATAAACAAGATATATTAGTTAGTCTAGTCTTTATTCATATTAATAAACCAGAGATATTAATAAGTCTAGTCTGTATTCATATCAATAAACCAGAGATAGTAGTTAGTCTAGTCTTTATTTATATCAATACACAGAGATATTAGTTAGTCATAGGATACATTCATATAAATAATCTATTGCTCCAGTAAACTTGCCTTTGTCTGCAATTTGCTTTCAATACACCATTTTTATGTTTCATGAATAATATGTTTACAATCCCAAAGAATTAGTGAAATTGTTCCTTTTTACTTCTGAACCGTCATATTCAGATAATTCATTTCTTTATAAACATTTTGACTTGACACCTTCAACAAATAATTAACCTAAGAAAAATATATACCCAGCAAGATTATCAAAGATATAATTGATTGAAAGAAATCATATTATTCTTTGCGTGTTATGAACAGGAGTGACGAACAAAGTGACAAACTAAACTAGACATATTGGTCGTAAACATTTGTTTGTAAAATTGACCAATTTCATGAATTATATATATGGGAGAAAATAAAACAATTATTTGTGTCTTGAGAATAATTATAGAGTCAATGTCAATTTTTAATTATTATCTATGATTGGTGCGTGAAACATCTATTTATTTAAAAAGATGATTTTCAAAAAAGTGGAGAAAATCAATTTTTTTTAAATGACCTGTCTCCATTGGAACCCATTCCTCGTCACACGTGTAGGAGTCAGCCACCCAATCCAGGTATTCAGGTTTATAGTAGTAATACAATCCATCCCAGGACATTATAGTTCTATACAATACAAAGTACACAGTACAGTATAGTAGTAGTACAATGCATCCCAGGACATTATAGTTCTATACAGTACACAGCACACAGTACAGTATAATAGTACAATCCATCCCAGGACATTATAGTTTTATACAGTACATAGTACACAGTTCAGTATTGTAGTAGTACAATGCATCCTAGGACATTAAAGTTCTATACAGTACACAGTACAGTATAGTAGTAGTACAATGGATCCCAGGACATTATAGTTCTATACAGTGCACAGTACACAGTACAGTATAGTAGTAGTACAATGCATCCCAGGACATTATATTCCTATACAGTACACAGTACACAGTACAGTATAGTAGTAGTACAATGCATCCCAGGACATTATAGTTCTATACAGTACACAGCACACAATAGAGTATAATAGTACAATCCATCCCAGGACATTATAGTTTTATACAGTACATAGTACACAGTTCAGTATTGTAGTAGTACAATGCATCCTAGGACATTAAAGTTCTATACAGTACACAGTACAGTATAGTAGTAGTACAATGGATCCCAGGACATTATAGTTCTATACAGTGCACAGTACACAGTACAGTATAGTAGTAGTACAATGCATCCCAGGACATTATATTCCTATACAGTACACAGTACACAGTACAGTATAGTACAGTGAAACCCTTAACACGAATACATCGGAAGAATTTATCAATTGTCGTCTTGACAATTTTTCAATGAGTTTTATACTATATTACTTAAATTTCAGTCTTTGCGAAAATAAATAAATAGCCATGAATATGCGGGAACAGTATATAGGTTTAGATTATTCACGGTAATGAAGAAATACTGTGTCCCAGAAAGCTAAAAAGAAAAGGCTTCAAACTCTGA